AAACAAAAAACCATTAAACCCACCATTTGATATGGCTGTAAGCTGCACATAGGTATCCAATCCACTATTCAAAAATGTAATATGTGTACTTGGGTCCTCCTTGGTTTTCTTAAAATAGAGAAAGAAGGCATAAGAGAAGCTACAAAGCCTTGTGCATAAGAGAAACTACARAGCTGTGTGCATTTCACTGCATCACTGCGCATCTGACACTGTGAAATAATTCCTTTTTTTTTAATTGCCCATTCTGCTGAATTCTAATATGGGTCCAGCTATTTTAAAATATAAAACAGATATGAAAGTATTTCTGTTTTGTTTGTTTCGTGTGCATCTCTACTTCTCTTTATCTACTGTTTCATTTTGCCACCATGCCCTTAGAAGCTTTCCCAACACTTAGCTGGTACTGGAAAGCAGACCAGCAACTGGCAATAAGCTCGTTTTGTCTTTTGTGTCAATCAGTTTCCACAAATACTATTTTTGTGAGGATTGGGAATCACCTTTTCTATATTGTTAGGAGTGCCTCCCACTTTGGGACTGCCTCCTGAGGCGGATGGCAGATATCTTTGAGGGCCACACGGAGGTGCAAAATATGGTTTACACATTCTGTGACATGTGACTAATTAATAGTTAAGGCAAAGCTGCCTTTTCTGGCTCTGGCGGTTTGCAGAAAATTAAAGCCTTGTAGGCAGACAGTTTATTATCTGCTTGTCTAAGGAGGGATCTATATGTTGTTCATTACAGCAATGTCTAGACTGCTTTGCAGTAAAACAAAAATTGTACTGCTGACGTACTCATTTCTGGCCTGAATGCATCAATAGCCTGGTACACACAGTACTGATAGAGCTTCCTCTTGTGGTTGAAATTTGTCTCATCTTATCTTATCTTGGAACACAGCGGACACACTGCTCTGACTTAATGCAGTTAATATCTTGGAGAAGCAGTGGCCCATGCTGTAAACACCTAACAAACACATACATTGTCTCACTTTGCCGTTTTATTTATGGCATACACAGCTGTGAGCATCTGCTATGGATAACGCATGCTAAATCTTCCAGTGTGTGCATAGCCAGGAATATCTATGGATCTGGGCTAAAAAGGAACGCTTGGTGAGTTTCTTTCTCTAAATAGGGAAAATTGGCATTAGACCGTATATTTGTCATGTAATTGATAAACAGAATAGAACAATATTACTTAAATAATGAAAAGGAAACAGCTCATTTCTTATATTTATTTGAAAACCTGACACAGATTGTCTTTCTTTTGTTAGAAAGGCTGCAAATTTCCTTAAGTTATTGAGCTGTGAAATACAACGTTTTAAATTACTCTGCTTCACTTTCAGGTGCTACCATTATTTCTAATCCTACGTCTTTCATGTAAAATGAAGAGATCATAAAGCACATTCCTGTGAAATGCTTTGATTAATATGAAACAAAAATATGTTAGCAACAACTCGGAACTTTAGCAATGAGACAGCTGTAAATAGTAGATCTTCCACTGAAGACTGGAGTTCTACAGCAGTTTTAAGAGCATATCATTTAAAACCCAACTGCCAACAGATGTTCTCTGCTATGGCTGTTAGAGGGTTTCATTATTTTTATAATCTTTTAAATTCCTCTAATTTATAGAAAACTTCCATTTAAAGTCTATAAAAGTTAATCCTGACCCCAGAACGACTTGCCCCAAATGAAATTTCCATCTTGTGGGCTTTCCCCACATGGGGAACTAGTAAGGGGTATCTGTGTCAGRCTACCTGCTGCCTAAAGGCACCACAGTCCCCAGACTTCACACAAGCTCTGCAGAGGCCTTCGCCTCAGCTTCTGAGCATCTCAGAAGAATGTTTCACACACATAAAGAATATTCTTCTAAAGGGCATCCTGAAACCAAGTCCAAACCAAAAAGCCTCCCACACATGCAGAATATGCAGTTGTCAAAGRTGAGCAATTCATAGCAAGCTCCACTTTCTCCATTGCATCCAATAACACCTTTCCTGTAAGATTTTACCTTCAATACTCATTTTTGCCCAGGTCATAGACTGGCTTAAAAAAAAAGAAAAAAAAGCCACAAGAGTGCTTTTTTTAATGGAAAAGGGGTTATAGATTACATYTTTCCCTCATTATCTCTTGACAATATCTGAAGAAATTTCATTCACACTATCAGGTCACTCACAATGACCATTTCCAGTATTAATTGCGAGCAATATTAAATTATCTAGATTTTAATTGCACAGCCCTATCTCGTCAATTAACCATGAAGACTAAATTTCACGCTAGGCTGAAGCCTAGTAAATATTTGTTGAGAGTGTGTTGTTTGCTTTTCAGTCATGCTGATTAATGCAAGTTAATTGGCAATCAACTCAAATAACAGCAGAACAATGCTGGAGACTAGATGTAGAGACTGTGTCAAGACAGATTGCCTCCAAACAGATAGGATTTGTGGCAGCCAAAYCTTGTTTCAGACTCAGGTTGGAGGAGTCAAACCACTCTCCTGCTCTGCACTCTCTAGACTGTGATTTTTGTATGTTATTTTTAAATCAGAATTTAACCAACTCAGTCCACCATACAGGATTTAAAACACAACTTAAAAACTGAAAAATTTGAGATCATGCTAGCTGGATCTACTCGAGGTCTTTCARGACTTCTTAGATAATACCATTTTAAGAAGTTCAGTTTTTGCAAGCTAAACATGCACGAGCATTTGTGCATAAGCGGTGAGAGGAGGCACCTTGCCTCAAAGCCAAACCCGATGSTTGGGCAGTATCTCTTGCCACCTTTTGAATGTGTGAGCAGAACTTCCTCTTGCCTCCGACATGTTGTTGCTGTGCATGTTCCAATTAAAGTAATTCCTTCCTTGAAAGACAGTAAGTGATGTGACTCATGTARCCATCAATTCTTTTTCCCTTGGTGATCTTCACTTTTTGCTTTGTCCTTAAACAATGCTTATTCTCCAGAAGCTGGAATTCCAGTTCCTTTCCTATCAGTCAAGATTCTGACTCACAAACTGACCTGCTGCAGTAGCATCCCTGGGCAACCTGCTCTCGCTGACACTGCTTGAGCAGAGAGGTTGGAGCAGATGATCTCCAAAAGTCCCTTCCAATCCCAACTATTCCTTGATTCTGGGACCACTAGAATGGAAATGGCTGGGGGGAGATGTTTGGTTTGGTTACCAGTTATTGTTTACCAGAATAGTAAGAACATAATGTTTTAATAACATAAGCCATTATGACCTGGTTTAGATATAACCCAACATCAAAGCTAACAATGARAAACAGACAGAACAGCATCAACTTTGTTATTGTAGCATTCTATAGATGTTGTAGAGAGTCTATAATTATTTTTCTGATCCAAAGAATTATTTGAGAACAAAAATGTTCACAATCTAAGGCTTTACAACTTGTTTTCGTATTTTGGCATGGTATGTTGTACTGGAAAAAAAAAATCTTTAATTAAAAGCAGCTTCCTGAATGAACCACAGACTTCAGTTCTGATCTCCTATTTTACTACTTCTCATGTCCCCTCTCTTTGCCACATATGTTTAAGCCACCCTTAACTTTCATCACTTCATGCCGTACTTGTTCTCCTGCAAGTCCTTCTCTGAGATCTCCCTATGAAGACACCATGTGTGGGGGTTGTAGCCCCACAAAGCTTCCTGCATGCTGAGGGRTCTTATTGCCATCTCCAAAGACTGCACAGGATGTTCTGCTGGGGATGGTGAGGACTYTGATAACAAAGAGCTTTCTACACAGCTCTCGAGTGCTTTGCAAGAAGAAAATGAGCACAGCAATTACTGGTCTCCATGTCTCTATGTCCATCTTYTTAGCATGTAGCCAAGAAACTTAGATTGTTTTTTCTCTTTGGAGTGCTTTGCAAAGAGGATAACCGTTTCCTACTGCCACCAGTTATTCTATTAGCTTAATTGACAGAGGTCTATGCTGTGAACCTAAAGGACCTACCCATGTTTAATGGRATGGAATTCATACTATTTTGAATGTTTCCTTTATTGGAAGAATCCTCTTGAAATTATTTTAAACACAGTTTTAAACATTGATTTTAAGAAGTGCCAAAATAGTGGCTGGTCCATGTCACTAGTTGCGAAGTTAGCAAGATTTATGGTACCCTGTGCAGGGATATTACAGGAGATGAAGATCAGTCYTCTGACTAAGGGCATTGACTGCCATTTGTAGAAATTAACTGACTGTCATTTAGTGGTCCAAAGCCCTTGTCAAATTTTGATTTAAACCCCTCTTTATTTCCCTACTGTAGCTATGAAGCAGGCACAAACAATATTGTCTAATTCCACTGAGCCATTGAGTGACACATTTTTGCTTATGTTCTTCAGGAACTTTTCTGCACATAAAAATACCTGTAAGGAAATTCATAATCTCTTATGTTTCATGGTAAATGAGAAGTCAAATCTTGGGAAAAGAATTAATTTCCACCATCTTTCAGCATCTACAGTTGTACCTTAAGGAATGCCTGTATCCGTTAACATAGTGGAAGCCCCAAGTAACTTCYTGCTAAGAAGCATACATCTCAGGTGCAAAACAGTATATACATCTACACTGAAGACACCTAGCAGTAGACAATAAGAATCTAACTTTGCATCATATATGAAGAAATATTGATCAGATTGAATATTCTTGAGCCTGAGATTCTTCATGCAGTGTGGGTACATCCTTTAAGCTGTACCAGTTGTTGTTGATACAGGTCTTTCCAGTCCACTATATAAAAGGTGTRGCTTGTCTTCCCTCTGTAACATAAGCTCACTGTATGCAAGCCATATCTTTGCCGTTGTACCCAGTTTACTTGTCAATCTCTCAGTTATGAGAACAAAAATTAAATAAAAATCACAGTTAGCTAAAGAGGCACTCAGGAAAATAATATAAACAAATCCACCAAATGACATAAGAACTAGAAGTGTGATATTTCWCTTGTATAATTTAGACACTAAAGAGTTCAGTGAATGCAATTAAAATACATATTGATTTCTCATGTATTTTGTCACAGGCTGAGTACTTCTATGAGTTCCTGTCCTTGCGCTCTTTGGATAAAGGTATAATGGCTGATCCGACTATAAATATCCCTCTGCTTGGAACAGTTCCTCACAAAGCATCAGGTCTGTACTGCTGATAATATAAATTGTGTTCTTGTAAAAAATATTCCGCTGCAAATAAAATCTAAATGTTTTATTATGAATTGCACTCTTTATTGTTWAAGAAATGCTTGCTACACTACTTGACATTGAGTAGTTTATGAGTGCCTGACTACAGCAGCATATTTTGTCTGAGCCAAGTCACATGAAGCTTTTACACGCTTTAGATAAAGCAGCAGAAATTTATCCCAAAATGATAAAATTCATGCATTTGAAACTTTATTGTTACTTCAGCTGTGCAACTCCTAGACAACACAACCTTTGAATGCTGTAAGGAATGGTTATTAAATTATATTCTTTCTTAGAGACTGCTCATTATGAATATTATAATTCCAGTTGGGGTCTGATGGTCTCATCAGGCTTTCTGAGACATGTGTTCTCATTTAGGGTATTACCATTTACCACCTTTCCTTCAGTTGTACATTAGCCATCCTATAAGCTGAGGCTTATAGCTCTAAGTAGAGACAGACTCAAGGCTGACATGAGCGCTCCAGAACCACCCCAGTGCAAGTGAACCAGGTTAGATATAAGGTATAGATATACCTTTCTGAGAGGTTATCTAAGCTACTTGATATGGCTCTGCAGTGGGTGAGTAACATTCTACATGATCTGCTCCAGAGATAATGTGTGGAGTGGTAGTCTCTGGCAGAAGGATGGAAATAACTACATGGATGATGGCAGTGACTTAATGTATAGTTTCATGACTAGCCTTAGCCAACCTAAGGCTGTCCTGGTACAAAATGGGAAGGAGGTGAGAAATGGAACAAAGAGCGTGATGCAGCTGTCGGTGGATCAAAGTGGAGCATTGATATGCAAGTTTACATCTTTGACTAATCTTGGTTTTGTCTTCTCCTTTTTATGAATAAGCTCTGAATGCTTGTATTTCTTATTCAGTTAGTTCAACCGARTGCTACATGAAATTTTAGTAATATCACTCCTATCAGATTCAGTGGACTTTAAAGCTTCAGTGAGGATAGTTGCTTATCACCAATAAGCACTATAAGAACAGCTTTGGTAGATTAGAGGCTTTCTAGCCTGGATCTTGTCTTATGGCCAAGACTGGCCATAAGCAGACCTATGGAAGAGYAACAAGAAGGCAAGCATATGTGTCCCCTCACATCCACTGACTTGCTTCAGTTCAGGGGATTTCCAGCGTCTCAAGTGATTTGTGCTTTTTATGTAACTCTTCTTGGTGTTTACATGGAAACTTTTCCTGTCTCCGGTCGCTTTGGCAGGGTGCTCCGCTGCCGCCTCCTGCATGAAAAGCTGCCTTCTGTCCTTTGAGTCTGCCTGCTATTAGCTTCATTTGAAGGGACCTAGTACTTGCACTGGTAGAGACAACAAATGGCCAATCACTCCTGTCAGTCCTATCCAGCCAGATGTGATTTTAAAAATCTGTTCTTCAAAGTTAAGGAGTTCTCTTAAATTTTTTCTAGGCTGGAAAGTCCGAGCCAGCTCAGTTGTTCCTCATTGGACACAACCTTGTTGTCTTACACCTTTTTAAATCTAATATATCCTTCTTGAGATAAGGAATCAAATTGTCTTTGAATTTAAGTTAGATCTAAATTACGTAGATTCCTTTGGGTCCTTTGAAAATCCCACCTCCAAATCCCAGGAYTGCTGTTTAATTCCACACTGAGGGCATGTTCATGTTGCACCTATACATGTAATAAAATATAAATATATGACTGGAAGGCTTGGGGTGCCTTTCAGCATGAACTTCAAGAGGTGACAAGTGCTTAGCTTATCCAAAAAAGGATGTCTGAGAAGAGCCTTGATTATAGTGTGAATAACTGCCCAGCGAGAAAGATTGGTGGCTCATTTCACAAGGGAAGGCCTGCTAATATCCATTGGTTCAGGCTAAAGTCAGCAAGTTCAAAACTAGGTGAGGCATTTTGGACAGTGACGGTGATTCCAGACCAGCTCTTGGTCTCACCGTGACTATACCCAAAGGAAATGGTCCCCTAAGTGCTCAGAGCTGGCCAGTCTCATGTTGGTGCCAAGATAACGCCAGCCAAGTTGGCATGTCCCCACAGCAGCAGAATCCATGTGGAGGCTCAGGTCCATATTGTGCCAGGGCAGCAATATGGGCTCAAGCCAGATAGCCCTTCTGCTTGTAGGGGATTCTAGGGGATTCTAGTCAATCCTTGTGGTCCACAACTGAGAGAAAAGGCCTAAGCTGCCAGACAAAAGAGACTAAACTGTCATCCYCCACATCCCAGTAGCACTCAAACTAGCAGCTAAAATTGAATTCGAAGTCACTAGATTTATGTAGATTCCTTTTAAAATTAGTTAAGTTTTTCTCAGTTCTGCTAGAGCTAGCAGCACTAGCTGCTAGACAGCTGGATGTATTCTAACAGTCCTGGATGTATTCCAGAGGCATGGAAATCTAAATGTTCCAGAGGTACAATCCTATGTCCTGATGACGTGGGGCCATAGGTTGCAGCTGAAAGCCCTGAACTGTGGATTAGTCCTTGCTTACTTTCAGCCAGTGATGGGCAAATGTAAACTGCATCCTGAACCTGGGAAGGAGGGACCAGCATGGAGCTTTGCCCCTCCACCACCCTGCTCACCCTTCCTGCCGGCCACGAGCCTGTGGATGCAGGGATGCAGGGATGTGGGATGCAGGGGACTTTTGCTTTGTGCTATGTGTTGAACACAGCTCAGCTTTACCCCAAGGSGTCTAGGAGACAGCCTTTATTTAGCCCTAGGGAATATATTCTCAGTCTTTGCTCTGTGCATTTAAACCCACAGGCTCTCATAAATTACAGGTGAATCTCTTTGGAGATCAGGATTTTGTTGCTGATTCCCTGAATCCTAGAGACAGCTCACAGTGCAGCATTCAATTCTGCCAACTCTTCCTCCCCATACCTGTCAGAGCACCTAAATTATTCACATGCTAATACAAGTCTCCTCTTAAACTATTTCCTACACTTGAGCTGGAGGAAGGTTACTACAGCTTAAAATGTCCAGTGCATTTAAATTGCTTCTAATCCCCGTAAGAGTTTTTTCTTACCACACAGTTACAAGTTTTTAATTATAGTCTTTTAAAAGACTGTAAAAGCCCCTCAAAAATGAAATCACTTTATAACAAAAAATAGAACAGGCATTTCACTCTGTAGGATATATCAGAATGTGTTTTAGCAATAAATTATTCTGCATTTTTTCCAAGGCAACAAATGACAAAAATTGTACAATTATGACTGGCAATATTTTCTATAATAAGCAATTAAAACAACCCAAATGAAGGCTGTTAACTCACTAYTTTGTTCTGAAATCTCAGGCCAACTTCAAGAAAAAATGAGCAAATGGTTACTATTAGCTGGTTCTAATTTATAATGGAGCTAGGAAGAGCCAATTTTGCAGAAAAGAGATAATAGTTTCATCTGCAGATTATTTAAGATCAATTGTGACAATCATAGAGCAGCATTCCATTGCTCTGAGGTATGAGGCTTGCTTCCTCATTAAAATACTCCAGATTTACTGGCCGTAATTATTTACTTTGACTCTTTGTAGTTCAAGAGTGTTTGAATGCTTTTCCTGGAGAGCCAGTCTCCAACTATCCATTTGAACACTCAACAAGTTCTATCAGAAAGTGGTATGTCTCTTTATTCTTCTTTTTAAATAAATTTGCACCCATGATCTTATTTAAGTGCACCATTTTGCCAGAGTCAGTTTTAATTAAATCAGTATTCTATTTAAGTGTTAATTGCAATATCCAAAACAGCAGAACTCATCTAGTGCAATACTGTTTCAAAAATGCATGAGATCTTTCTGCAGAAGTGATGTGAGAGTCAGTAACACTTAGCCTCAAAAGTGATCAAGTCAGCTCAGGAAATTAAATATAGGCTTCCAGGTCATTTAGGTGGCATTGAAGGTTGTGTGCTTAGATAATTTCATGTAAGTAATTGCCTTGTCTGCAGGCAGGACTATGCTTGTCTCCAGATCACTGTCTTCACTGTAGACTATTGAGTTTATGTGAGTAGATGAGGCCAGGCTCATCTCTCATGCAGTCCCAGTCCTGGAGTCTCTTATCAATAAGGTGGCCTACATATCCCTGTGTTACACTCCTTCATCTGTGGCTATGCTCTGAAGTTTAAATGTAAATACTTATTAGCTATATTTTTAGTAATTCAATTAATGTTTTTATTTGCATATATTACAGTTGTTGTTGTTACTGTTACTATTATTCTCCTTTTAGTCGTTCAGGTTGGGTTTCCTTGCCTTGGAAAGCAGGACGGAGTTGCTGCGTTTGAGGTTAACGTGATCATAATGAACTCAGAAGGCAACATAATTCTGCAGACACCGCAGAATGCCATCTTCTTCAAAACCTGTCAGCAAGGTAACGCTGAAGATGACATGACTAAATGCCATTAGACCAGCTCACATAACTTATGTTTTGTTCAGAATAATGGTTAGACAACATCATTGGTCACGCAATCTGTATAAAGAGTCACAAATTTCAGGCTCTTCAGCATCTGTCTGTGGATTTGCTGTTCATTGGCCATGTGATAAACCTTTTACTTAATGTGGACTATGTCTCACTTAAGATAGTGCTGTAGGCAACGCTCCATCTGTTCACAGSTCATCGTGTCAAGGATATTGATAGAAACTTAATATAAGATAATAATTACAAATAAYAAACTTGAGGTGTTTTGAGAAGAGCTAGCAAAAAAAGGGAATGTTAAGGCTAGCAATTTCAGAAATTGCACATAATTTTAAGAATTGCATTTCTGAGATCCACAGTGCAAGCTCTGACTTCAATTAATGCCTGTTGGTGCCACTGTCCAGCAGCTYCTAAAAGCTCAATTTGCACATCCAAAATGAGTCCAAAAAATAAAGCATAAATCTGAACATATTGCAGAATCTGCTTTCACGTTCTCTGGAGCTCTGGATGGCAACCTGTTGTTGGATACAACACTGCTGATCAGCCTCAACAACAAGTGCTGCCTGCTGTTATCTGCAAAGCTTGTGAGGCATTTGAGTCAATGAGAGAGCTCCTTTCCTCCTTACACTCAGAAAAACTTTATTATTCATGTTTTCTGTTTGATTTCAGTAGAATTGTCTGAATAGTAAAGCACTTTTCTGGAAGGTGATGGAAACTAGTCCTCAGTATTTGCAGGCATCAACCAATGAACACCCACAAGATGCACTGACAGAAGAGCAACAGAAAGACATGACGAAGTTACTGCAGTATTTACTCGGAAAGCAGGGGACCTGTTAATTAACCACTCTATAAGCACTATGCAATAAGATTCTGTGGATTAAACTGATACACTACAAACAACTGTAATAATTATCATTCTGAACTGAGGCTGTTTAAATGAAAAAGTAAAATTAATGTCTAAGATAAGGCAGTTACCCCATGTTGTGTGCAGTTGTATCTGATTAACTCATGTCAGGGCTGAGCTACAAAGAGTGAGATTTTCATTCGTCTCCCATTAAATCCTTGTTCCCAGTCGCACACTTTCTTCTTTGCACTCTTTTCTCTGAGCTAATTGGCTATAGGGCAGCTTCAAAGAGCAAGCGGCAGAAGGAGCTGTTTATTCTTTGAAATCTCGCTACACCTAAAGAGCAAAGCTCTTTGTCCCCTTTGAAGCTTCACTGCTGCCAATTAGCCCCGAGAAACTGGAGGAGGAGAAGAAATGGGGAGAGAAATAAGACAGAAAATGGGGGCTTTAGAGAAGTAAAATCAGATCTGGTGCATGAAGTCATGAGTCCAACGTAAACACAACACACAAAAAAAAAATTGTGACTTTTTTGATTTACAGTTGAGTTCAAAGATACGGAACTTAAACTTTGGAAATGGTGTTGGGGTAATCTAGTAGGATGGTAACRTTACAAGTCTTTATTGTGGAAAAATGTGGCATGAACAAGAGGGATCCAAACTGAGGCTTTTGTAGCATTCAAACAAACCATGGTTTCTGTGSTGTTAGCTATTATTATCATTACTAGTTTTGTTGATTAAAAGATCATATTTCACAGTCTAGCAGCATTGTGCAATACGGCTACTCAGAGGATGGTTTTCCGATCATAAGAGGTAAAGAGGAGAGGAGTTTTCACCCCTCTGATCTTTCAGCATATACTGGGGTAACTTCCATTTCTGCACTCGATATTGTGACATGGATACTGCAGCATTTGGGCCAGGTATTAAGAAAGATGAGAATGCTCCTACTGGTTAGTATTAGTCTAGTTTGCTTCCTTTGAAAGAAGTCCTAGATGGCAAGAAGCTCAGATTCCTCCTGCCGGGGCCCCGGATCATTGTTTCCAGTTATTCCTGGCCAGCCGGAAGGGGCTTCCACTAGAGGAAGTGGGGAAAATGAGGGAGCAATTTTGTGGGAAAAGAGAGTCTTTGTTGTGGCTAAGAGGTGGCCACAGACACACAAAAAAATATGTTTTTCTATTTTTCTGTTTGAAATGGCATGTATTTAAGTATGCATTTTCTGTAATGAATAGCAGCTCTGCATTTGTGTACAAAGAGAGAAACATTTCCAGTAAGAGTCCTAGGCTGTAGTGTTGGAACAAAATAAGACAAAAAGCCGTTACCGTTATTAGTACCGTTGCTAGCAGCTTTGCTTTTAGAGCAATACTTTTTGCTTTGTGTATCTTTGGCATTACATAGAAGAACATTAAAAACTTTCCCCTTTACCTCTTGTCCCCTTACTGCTTGTTGGACAGTTCCACAAAACATCCACTTCTGCTGGTGTCAGATTTTGCTCCCTTTTCTTTACTCTTGGGTTGCCCTTTATATGCCACTGAACAGAGATATATTGTATGAACAGAGATATATTGTATGAATGTAGCAGGAAGAGAACAATGCTTTTAGTTTTAATAGTTAACACGTATTCCTGTGGCTCTAATCAGTTTTTAGTTAAATTTTCAACAATCAAAATTTGTAGATAAACCTAACAGGTAGATTTACCTGGCTCGAATATTAGAAGAGGGGAGAATCATTCAGGATCTGTTTTAAATTTGGGAGTTTATTTTCCTTTGTAGTTATAGTTAGGAGTTACAGTTTCAAATATCACTGTGGGCTGCGGGCAACCCAATCCACCTGAATTTATAGACATCCTACTGCTCCTTGCCACTATAAATGTGTGCACTTTAAAGGTCCTAACTGTTTGAGCTCAGTTATTATTTGAGTAGGAACTAGAGTGAATTAGTGGTACATCTTTACTGCCTAAGCACAGTAGATGCCAGCAATTGTGTTAAAATCAGGTGACCAGTGAAAAGAGCAATGAGAAGGGTACCACTGGGAGGTATCACCAGTTGCATATGTTTACAGCACTATTATGCCAAAAGGGGCAGGGAAGGATGTGATGCCACCCTTATAGTAAACAATCTTTTTGTAGGTGACCCTCCAGTTTGGGTTAAAATGGTTGTAACAAGATTGTTCTCTCAGGATCTACCTCAGAAGTGTTTGAACCTTGTCATGTCATGGATCACATAGGGTGGGTAAAGATGCCACATAAGTGGACTTGTCTTCCTGGGAACATGTCTGGCAGAGACCATCTTGCCTCCTTTGTTGAAGCCACCTTGTGCCTCTGGTACCCAGTCATGGGTGCAATGTGCACTTGGTCCAGTGGGAGCAGGCAGCCTCTGGTGCATTCCTCCTTATCTGTGAGAGATCTGGGAAGGTATTTTTGAGTAATTGCTTTTCTACCCTGCAGTCATGTTTTCATGGGCTTCCATAGGGTTCCAATTTGTTCTGCCTCTCGTTCAATGGACTCTGACTTTTTGAGGCTGCTGATGATACCCAGATGTATTTTTTGTCCTTCTGCAGTACAGTGTGGTTTGCCAAGTGCTTTAACCAGCGTTTGATACATAGCTCAGAAGTGAATAAGAGTTAGGTGACGATATAGGATCACCATATCATCTCTGCAGGAATGCTTTTATCCTGCTTTCTTCCTTCATCTAGCCTCTAAGCTGACTATTTTATTTGAATGCAGATTTCATCACTTTGTCACCTCGATAGTAATGGATGTGTTAATTAATACAATCAAGCTACAGTGCAGTTTACTTATGGCTGCACAAATTGCAGATCCTGTGTTGGGTACTGGTTCATTCCTGAGTGGGACTGAAAGTGGTGGATTAGGCAGAGGATCCACTTTATAGTGGAGCTGTGGAGCGCATGCTCTATTAGCAAACCTGTCACATTTATCTGAACACACTGGTGGATTAGGCAGAGGATCCACTTTATAGTGGAGCTGTGGAGCGCATGCTCTATTAGCAAACCTGTCACATTTATCTGAACACACGATCAAAACTGTATTTGTATATTAACCATAAAGACACTGATTTCTCTTGAGGAGTTCTTGGCTGAACTTTCATTTCTGCCAGCATTTTCCTGCCTGCCAGTGAATATCTTTGCTGTTATATCAAAGGAATATATTGATCCTACTGAAAACTGAGTGGCAGTAAAGTGTGCAATATCTAATTAAGATTATCATTATATTTTATGAAGCGGAATGTCCGGGAGGATGCAGAAATGGAGGATTTTGCAATGAAAGACATGTCTGTGAATGTCCAGATGGATTTTATGGACCCCACTGTGAGAAAGGTAATTGAAAAAAATCTTCACAACAGTTTTCTTTACATAATTATAACAAAAGGGTAACTCCTGCAATGTAACCTCTTCTAAAAATGGGAATGGACTGTGCTCAAGATTTCGTGTATTTCAAATCCTCACAACAGAATTACTACTATGGTCCATTATCTAATGGATCCTCAGTCGCTTAGGAGGAAAATGTTTTCTCTCTAAAGGACTGTTTTTAGGAAAAACTGGCACAGTTAGTTAAGGGATACTCAATTGTGGAGACTCCATCTGGCAAAAAGATTAAGCAGAGTTTTGCTGCTAATGAAGACTAGCTGGAAAATGAAGCATGGGACTTTTTTTTTGCCCTGTATTTGTTTATTTGAAGATAAGATGTAATTTGGATGGAGAATGATAAAGATGGGAGGYATGAAGGAAAACAGTCTCTCTTTTCTTCTTATTAGTAACCCRCAGCCAAAACATAGATATTTCTGAGAAGGATGGACCTGCAAATGGGTGTAAATTGATGAGGAAAATAGCTCTTCTTCTCAGTGGTGGCCAGTGACAGGATAAGGAGTGATGGGTACAAGTTGAAACACATCCATCCATCCATCTGYATGTGAGGAAGAACTTCTTCACTGTTAGGATRACAGAGCCCTGGCACMGGCTGCCCAGGGAGGCTGTGGARTCTCCTTCTCTGGAGATCTCCCAAACCYACCTGGATGCCGCCCTGTGCCCKGTGCTCTGGGTGTCCCTGCTGGAGCAGGGGGTTGGACTRGATGATCTCTAGAGGTYCCTYCCAACCTCAACCATTCTGGGATTCTGTGAGGTTCTTCTTATGTTCCTTCCTTCCACCTCCCTCRTAGGAGACTCTCCCCAGGGTGACCCAAGTCAGAGTGAAGCAGCCCCCAGGACCCGCTAGTCCAGTGTCACCCTCAGCTCCTAGACGCTTTGACCACATGTAAAACATCCAGTCCCAAGGGCAGGGACCACGCACGGCCTGGAGCCTGGTGACGCAGCACAGTCTTCATGTGTGTGTTTAAACTCTGTAACCTCCGAAGCAGAGGCCTCCGGGGGCCGCGGGCCGTGCCTGGGCGCGCGTTGGGAGCAYGCCCGCCGGCTGAGACGGGAGCCATGCCAGGAAGGGCACTGGCAATTTCACGGGCTGCTCGCGTCCCTACCCCTGCTCGGTCCTGCGCCAGGCCCTGTTTAGCTCCGTGGTGCGGCCGCAGCCGCACTGCACGTACCAATTGTGGCCGACCACGGAGGACAGGCCGTCCCCACCAGGCCTCCCCGAAGAGGACTTGTGGGGTGGCCGCAACGGCGTCGGAGTCAGTACAGAGGCTTGAAAAACATTTGGGAGGGAGGAGGCATCCAGGGCAGTTCACCACCAAGCCTGGCCTTGCAGGAGATGGAGATGAAGGGAAGGGTTCCTTGCAAGGACCCCYTGGGAACTCCGCTAAGTTGTTGACCCTTCTGAGCACAAACCCCTCTTACAGGCAGAATGGAGACACAACCTGGAGGACAGAAGTCCCATGATGGGAAGGACTGGGATAGCGGCTACTCCAAATTTTCAGAGGGTGCTGGCGAGTCCASAGTGTGTTGAGGAGTCTCAGTGGGCAGCTTGCTGTCCCCAGCTCAGCATTCAACTGTGCAAGGGATGGTTTTTGCTTGCAGTGGAATCAGATTTAAACTTAATCTTCCCYTTTTTAGTAGTACTGTATATAGTTGGACAGGTACCATGCAGAAATGTGATGGATTTAGCTCACAAGCAGAGTGAACCCTTTGCAAAGCTGACTTGTTACACTCAGCAGAAGGAGAAGGGGTGCGAGGAAACTGCATTGCGGCTTTACATGGTCACTCGCTCTCTGTCCTTGCAGAGATGTGATTTCCTCCCTTGCTTCTCCTTAGCTCTGTGTGCTCCTCGCTGCATGAATGGGGGGCTCTGCATTACGCCCGGCTTGTGCATCTGCCCACCTGGATTCTACGGCATCAACTGCGACAAAGGTAACGTGGAGAGGAAACCAGCCGGGAGCTGTAGTAGGAGCATCGGGACTTGCAGCACGTCACAGACACATGTGAAGGTGTCCCTGTGTCAGGAACACCTCAAGGAAGGGAAGTTTCTATAGTCATTTTACTGTTGATCCATTAAAATCTGTGAGATCTACCACAAAACTCATTGGTCCATGAAATAAAGAATTTGAACTTGGGTTTCCTGGAGCAAAATGTGTTGATTTGCTCACTATGGACACTTAGAAAATAAGTCATCTGTTCATTTTTTGTTGCTGCGTTGTGACTCGGGCATAAAAAGGAACAAGTAGCTCTTCACAACAATAATTTGGAGCAATCCAGACATCCACACAGAGAAAAAAAAAATATTTGTTGCATATCAGTACAGCCAACCAGCTCATGGCAGAGTGTACAACATCTCAGGGTATTTACTGTTGCAGAGCCAGATGAAGGACTGAGTAAATGAAAAGGTCCTGGAGGGCTTTAAGCCAAAATAATGACTTACTTTTTTGGTCTTCAGATAGGTTTGCACAGAATGTTATCATCAAAGTCCTTCTGCCTTGTACCTCATCTTTGATGAGACCTTTGTTCATCTGAAAAACGTTTGAAGAGTACGCTGTAATGAAATGTGCCCAATATCTTGAAGGATCTTGAACTGTAAGATTAATATGAACCCCAAATGTTTGGTGTAAAGTCATGTCTAATGCAATTAAGGTAATTTAACAGGTCAGAGACACTGTTAAAAACAGGCAGCATTTGTGCCTATGTCATTATATAATAAAGACCTGTAGAAGTCTCTTTCTTGTCTAAATTTGAAACCTGCCAGAGTCCTAATTAAGAGCTGTACCTTTTCATTCAGTTAGTGAAGGGCCTGCCTGTAACTTCCAGTCCTTTTACCACACTCAAGGCAAGTTCAATAGTAGTAATGACTTGATTTTCAAGCATTTAACATGTGAAGACTGATAGAGATATAACATAAAACCTGTGCTTGGGGCCTCATTGCTGTATTGTTCACCCCTTTCTTTCTATTGACTTGTGCCTGTGCCAGCGCAAAGCACCGTGTCAGAAAAACTGCATTTTCATTTGCCTTTGTAAAACAGATGAAAATATATGAATGCACGTTTTAAAAACTTGCTCAGTGTCTGTTTATGTTGAATAGCAGAAAACACTGAGGGCAAGTCAAAGTGAGTTCACGTGAATGATTTAATTTATTCCTGTTTTATTTGTTTTAGCAAACTGTACAACAACCTGTTTCAATGGAGGAACGTGTTTCTATCTCGGAAAATGCATTTGTCCTTCAGGATTTGAAGGAGACCAATGTGAAATCAGTGAGTAATCATCTCTGTGTGTCAACCTTCTCAATTACATAAACTCTGCTGTTTACATTGCCTGAAAGATGAAGTGCAACCAGCTTCCTCTAGGCTGCCAGTGAGGGTCTCAAGTGGCAGGTTGGGATCCCCAAGGGAGTGAGGAGCCTCAGTGCTCTCAGTGAGATTCATATTGAAAAGCCTTGACTTGTCACTAGACCATCCCATCCCTTGGTATGTCTTGTTTTTACTAGCAACTGGGCTTGGAAATAGCCTTTGAGCTGTAAGTATGCAAGCAATACTCTACGCAGCATACAGATGGGCCCAGCCCTTGTAGAGGAGATATTTTTGGAAGTTATGGCAATGCACAATTGTGCACAGACCATGAGATTTGAGCTCCTGTCCCTGAAACGCTACTAGCACCTGGGAGTGGAAAGTTTTGGCATCAGGAGGTGACTGAACCATAAGAGCTGAGAGCTTTCATTTGACATATTAGGTTGCATTCACATGGCAACTTGAAAATCCTTATCACAAACATCAAAAGACTTGCTATTTTAAGAAGTTTAGCATCAAAGCGATTCAAAATATTTTAGCTCATGGTTGATTGAAGTGTTCTGTGTAAAGCTGGAGGAGGACATAAGGCCGTGCTGGAGCAGAACTGGGAGGTCAGCTGTCAAGCATTTGATCTCACTAAAAGAAGAGTTTTCTCACAGCTCTGTTAAATTGGATTAATTCTGTAGTTCCCAGCATTGAATGGTGTACGAGCACTTCAGTTTTGAGAACATGCACCCAGGTTGTTCTTTCTGTGCTTAAAGCTTCTAACAGACCACTGTGCGTGGACCTTCCCCGTGTTTCTGTGTCACTGACTTTCTGAAGTGTTCACAGGAGCAAAGAGATCAAAATTTGGCCTCTCATGCATAAGAGTTGACTGCTTGCTATGCATCAGCAGAGGCAGGCTCTTCTCACAGCTAAGAAATTTATGTCAACAAATATTAATTCATACATGGAAATTAATGTACAGTTAGCTGAGAGAGGACAGTAAACAAACAACTGTGTGAAGATAGAAGAGCTCAAATTCCATAGGAGCTACACGTTGCAGAGTAGTTATGTGTAGAAGTTAGCAAATGTTTTGCTGTATGCCCATCCATTACAAGACATCTTGGAATTCTTTTAATCTAATCTAAATTTTAGTCAGACGAGCAGAAAAGCTTTATTGCTATTAAATTAATAATGGTGGCCCCTTGACATAAATTCAGACCAGATGTAAGTAAATTCAACAGTGTGGATTTCCATTGCATTGGCCTTTGCTAATACCAAATTCAATTTTGACACTTTGTCATAGCTTCATTTCTTTCTTTATCTTCCCAAACATCTACTTGGCTGGTACTTCTCAGATGCTGAAGAAGGTTTTATTCAAAGTCCAGGGAGTACATATTTTAGTCAGAATAATTCAGAATCAGAGTCTGCTAAGAGCTACACYGGGAGTCTGTTGATGAGGAGACTATGCACTTGCCCAGGCTTTTGTAAAGCTCAACAACAAGGCTTAGAGTGTAATTGATGTCTCTGAACACCTCTGGGCACTGCACCAGTACCAGCACAGAGGAAGGCTGCAAAAAATGCTAAATGAGGCTTATAAACGTCAGAGGAGAAACAAAATTCATTCTGGTTTCTTAGATGCAGGGCCAACTACTTTCAGGCTTGGGGGTCTTGAAATAAAAAGAAGAGGAAAATCCATCTTCAGAAAACTGCAAAGATTTTTTTTAATGTTGTTTAAAGATTTTGAGAACTTGTGTAGTAGTTGAATCATTTTCTACAACTCCTGGGAAATTTACTCAAGTCAATTTACAACACTAATTAGCATTCAGTCTCTTTTTTCTTTTTCTAACTATAGTTATGCATTGTCTCTAATTAGTGTTTCAGTTTGAGTCTGGAGAGTTTTGTTTTGCTTTTGATTCCTCCTCTATTTGTTACCAACTGTTCTGTTGCTTTTTTTTTCCATTTCTCCGTTAATCACATAGAGCACGATTAGCCTTTCCCCCATTCAGTGCAAATATGTTAGTCCAAAGTGAATTGAGCTGTGCTGAGCCAAGTGCTCGCTTAGTGCGACGCTGGAAGCCTGTGTGGCACCCTTGACCAAAACTCTCCAGGCTTGCTTCAAGGACTAGCAAAATTCCTGGATTTCCTTAGCATGGCCCTGTCAATAATTAATTACTTTGGATGCAAAAGGGTGCAGATCAGASGACCTAGCTCTTCCCTATGCAGAGGCTTCTGCAGGGAGACTTTGGGGTTGCAGAAGCTTGTTTCTGGGCTATTAAAATAGAGGCAGGCGAAAGCATGACAAAATGCAGACGAGTTCCAGCCAGGCAGTAGGGGACAGACAGGTCTCCAGGTCTGAGGAAGCCCAAAYGTGAGTGTCCTCCCTGTCCAGCCAGCCAGAGCCAGGCTCCCCACAGCAGTGTGGTCAGACCAAGCTTCTTCCTCCAGCAAAGTGTGAGAGAAGGGAGTTTCCAGGCCGAAAAGAAAAGCTTTGAAATATGTCAGGCAGGTCTAATTACAGCTACCAAAGATGCTCTGTGCTTTACAGGCAGAAAAGGAGGGCACGTTCTTGCTGTGCCCTGCTGTGCCCTGCTGCCTACCAGCAGGTCATCCTGCTCAACATGTCCTCCTGCTCTTGCCCCACCACCAGATGAACGTTTCAGGTAGACTTTCAGGACAACTGTCTCCAGTATCCATGAGGGATTAACTCTGTTGTTTTCATGCTTCCTATTTCCAGGTAAATGCCATCAGCCCTGTCGAAATGGAGGTAAATGTACTGGTAAGAATAAATGCAAGTGCTCCAAAGGCTACCAGGGAGACCTTTGTTCCAAGCGTAAGTACCAAAGCCACCCACCAACAAGCTCACCTATACGAGCATCAAGCTCCCGTATATGAGCATCAGGATCATATGCAGGTTTTTGTACATGTCAGCACTAGCTGCTTGTTGTCAAGGCAATGCAGGTTAATTCGCTTCCTGGACATACTGCATAGAGTCACCTTAAAGGAGTTAGGAAATATGGAAGCATATATATGTTTTTTTTTTAAAAAAAAAAAAACCCTCTTCACAACCTTTTTTTGTGTTATGAGTTTCTTTAAAGTAGTGATATGTCTGTATAATAGTAGCCAATGCTTCTAGATAACTACTGCACAGCAGGGCAACGTGCTGCAGCATGAAAACACTGCAGGAGCCCTTTGCACTGTTGCTTCACGTGCCTCTGTCAGTGATGCTGAGCCAGGCACTTCAGTTCAGCTTGAGGAGCCTGCACGCACTCAGKTTTAAATCACAGCTTTACTGCAATAGCCCCAGGCAATGCCAAGACCAACAGTTTTGGAAGGAAGAGCGTGGAAAGCGAATGCCTAAGTGAGTTGCTGGATGCCATGTCAAGAAGTGACTCTCACACTCTCGCTCTGTTACAGCTGTCTGCGAGCCGGGCTGCGGGTCGTTCGGCACCTGCACGGAGCCTAACAAATGCCAGTGCAAAGAAGGCTGGCACGGGAGACACTGCAATAAAAGTAAGTGAGAAATAAACTCCGAGAATCCACAGTGGAGTCGTACATAGCAGGGGCTGGGCAGAGAYGACTGCTTMAAAAACCTTTCTGCAATCGGTAGTGATAAAACACTCCACTTTTTTCTACTCTACAAGTAAAGGAATAAAACTAACATTTTAATATTCCATGATTTTAACTATATTCCATAATGTAACTACTTAGAAGAAAAAAAAAAMGTTTAGAACTGCTTTACCAAAATCAGCCTTCCTATTTATAATAGAAAATCTAGACTTTCCTATCCACAGGATTTCCAGAAGCCATCGTGTATACTCCACCCATGGTGCTGAGCTGATTTGAAGCCATTCAATAATCCTCATTAGTGTTAGTTGCCTTTAAAATGTTTGATAGGGATTTTTATATATAAAACTCTTTCAGTTTACAAAACCGATTAAACTTAGGAAAAAAATGGGGAAAAGCTGGAAGGTTATATGAAATATGTGCTTACTAACTTCCAAGTTTTCTCCTCTTTCCCACCCACACTGCACAGAGAACAAAATATATTGTCCAACAGCACAGCTAAATTCCTTAAAATGAACTTGTGCTTTGAGTTTGTGATCCTTAAGACATTTAGCAAAAGTGAAGCAACTGATCATATCAGTGGGTTTAAAGTAGCACTATGAAATTAACCAAAATGCARTTAGATATATCCAGGTAGCAAATTCACATGAAATTTGTATTTCATGTGAATAATGTGCTATGATATGCTATAGCATAGCAATTATCTGAAGAGATGTTCTGTACATTCTCCCACGAGGTATTAATGTTTATCTTAAACGCTGTTGGCTGATTATTCATATTGAATATATTAAGCGACAGTGATAAAAYAGTTGCAAAAATTTGCAGTTATAAAATGCACCAGTTAGTCATAAGAAATACATATCTTACAAGGCTGCATCAAAGAATGATCATTTTTATTAAATACTATTGAGGCCTGTGACTGGTATCACATTAAAACATATCAGAAATATATCAGTTGTTGCATAAAAAATGTGTAGCATCTAACTAAAATAGATTATGCAGTGAATACTAGCTTGAGGGAATCTACTTTTTTTTTTTGCTGTTATTTAGTTGAACAGTGTAATTACATATGTCATTCCCCAAAGGAGAAATAATGTTGGCGTAAGTTATAGTTAGAGAAAAGGTATGTGGAAATCAGTACGAACCTCAACTCCATCATCCCATTATACACTTTTTGTTCTTCTTGTAATATTTTTATTGTAAACAGTTTAGATAACAAGTGAAAGGACAGATGCTATGAGTTCATGTCCCCAAAGAAATAATTATCTGTGCAACAAAAGCAAAATACGGAGTGTGACTGCCATATTATGAGAATTTAAAAGTCAAACACTATTGTCAGCATCAAAGTTTTGRTGCCTTTACTACCTGCATTAGAAGTTTGCTTACAGTTGTGCTGTGCTTAGCACTGCAAGAAACTGCGAATGGGCCATTTGGGTAAAATTCACCATTATCTGCAGTGCCTGCGCAGGGCTTAAGTTGCACATACTGCTCCATGTGTGGCAGTGCAGTTCCCGCTTTTCAAGTAACCCTAGATATTGCTTGAGCTTTAGAGAAGATTTGCAGCCGGTTTCAGAGAYCTGCTTCACACTCTCCCATTGTGGCAGGAGCTCAGCAGTCAGTTTGTAACCATAAACCTCAGTGTTTAGAAGAACCTGAAATGTCCAAATTTGCCTGAAATTGGGCAATTTTACCAAATTTCCGGAAAACGAGACCTGCGCTCTAGAAAGACCTGCTTATAAAGACTGAACATGGGGCTATGTTTTCAAGAGTCATATCCATCCTCTTRAAATGATGAGCTGGGCAAATGAAACCCGTAAATTATCGCATAACGCTCTGAATTCCGCTCTTATTTTTCATTTTTGATTGTCGAGAGCAAAGCAGCTCTGCTCTCTCTGCTAAGCCCGTTTGGGGCTCGTTTGCGCCGAGCCCATCCCAGTTTCTTTGCTCACAGTGGGGAGGGAAGGGATGGGGACCATTTCCCCTCACGGTGTGAGCTGGGCCCAGGGCAGCTGCGGTGTGAGCTGGGCCCAGGGCAGCTGCGGTGTGAGCTGGGCTCAAGACACCTGTGCTGTGAGCTCGGCCCAGGGCAGCTGCGGTGTGAGCTGGGCCCAGGGCAGCTGCAGTGTGAGCTGGGCCCAGGGCACCTGCAATGTCAGCAGGGCCCAGGGCAGCTGCGGTGTGAGCTGGGCTCAGGACACCTGTGCTGTGAGCTCGGCCCAGGGCAGCTGCGGTGTGAGCTGGGCCCAGGGCAGCTGCAATGTCAGCAGGGCCCAAGGCAGCTGCGGTGTGAGCTGGGCCCAGGGCAGCTGCGGTGTGAGCTGGGCTCAGGGCACCTGTGCTGTGAGCTCGGCCCAGGGCAGCTGCGGTGTGAGCTGGGCCCAGGGCAGCTGTGGTGTGAGCTGGGCCCAGGGCACCCTCCTCTGCGGCTGCTTTCCCTGTCTCTGCCTTGCAGGGTACGGAGGCGGCGCGGCGAGCGCCGTGCGGCCGGCCGGGCCGCGGCACCGGCAGCTCACGCCTTCCCCGAAACGCGSCGAGGAGAGGCACCCGCCGCCCGAATCCAACTACATCTGGTAGTTCCACATGTTCCAATGCTGGCCCCGAAAACACCCTTCCGAGCGGCTGCGATTCCTGCCCAGCCTTGTAGTGGCTTCCTCGTAAACCACTGAGCTGATGCTCTTTCTTCTAAGTTTTATAAATATTCCTGTAGCATGGTTATGTAGGCTGCTTCTTTGAGTGCTTTGGATGGTGTTTTGTACTGTATTTCACTTATGTTTAAATTTCTTTTTTATTATTATTTTTATTATATAGCTGCAGATATTGTCCAAAAATTAGATATCATTATTCCAGCAGAGAAAGCTCGTAGATGCTAACCTGAGTCATTTCAATGACTATGGATTTAGTTGGCATAAGAAAAAGGCAAGATGTCTTCTATTTCTTTCAATTCTATTTTTAGGCTTTTCCCTGAGAAAAATAAATAAAATAATGAGTCACCTAATTTAAAACCCGAATAACTCAACTCAACAATGTTTTTTGTCTTTCAGTTTTGCAGATTACTGTGTATTAAAAATACAYGGTGGTAGTGGCTTTTAAGCACCGTAATATATTGTAAACAAAGTAGAACTTTAATGTATGAACTTTTTGCATCAGCCTGAAGCGATATAATATATTGTAAACAAAACAGCTCTTATGTAATAAACTTTTTATACTGATGGTTATGTATAAAATAAAGATGCTGCTCTAGTTTTCCGAGTGCTGATCGGTGTGGTCGGTGACGGTCGCTGGGTGGGGCAGGACGGCTCCTTTAGGCACCTTACTCACCACGAGGCYGCCAAATCACAGCAGGCACCTGGTGTGTTAGTTCCTCAGCTCCAGAAATTATTTCGGAAGTGCAATTTCTTCCCATACCTATGAGAAGGAGGGGGCAGCACCGAAGGACAGGATTGCCAGATATATGGGAGTGCATCTGCCCTCCTTCCCCCCAGCATCTCCATGGCCCTGAGTGATTTTCCTTTAGGAGGAGGGTAATATCCATGTCAACAAATAAATACCATCCTAGTGCAGTCCTATGAATCTGCAGGAAAAGGAAAAGATATAAATAAAGTGCACAGAACCCTGCACACAAAGTTATTCTCAATTAGCGAGAGGTTTTGAGTTGCGAAGGGAAAATTCCTGATGCAGATGCTGCTATCTAGGCAATGGCCCAGCACACAAATATGTTCTGGTCAGAGGGAGGGAGGCCGGGTGGCCTCTGCTCCCAGGGGAGGCCTGTGGTGCTTTCCAAAATGGTCCCTCTTATCAAAATAGGAGAGTGAGTGGGGAGTGCAAGGCATGAGAAGAACCTCAGGCAGCGAAAGCTCTGTTGCGGGGAAGAGGATGGGGAAAGGGAATTCTTTATATATGTATTTTCCTTGAAAGAAAGGGAAGAAGGAGCATTRTTCTATGATGAGGTGAGGACTCTGATGATCTGGAGGGCTTTGCTGCTCGGAGCCGCCAGCCGGCCCACACAGCAGCTTCCAGCGTTCCTGGGGACAGGAGGCAGCATGGCCTGCTGAAACAGGGCACACACACACGGAGATTTCACAAGCAAAACRAGTCCCAGTCCTTGCCCACTCCTCATTGCAGCCCGATGTCAGGGCAGCTGCTGAGCTACAGGCCAGCAACACGTCAGTGGCTCCCAGCCTGACGTTTCCACTGGAGCCCAGCTGGTTGCACGTCCCGGGCACCCATCCAGCAGCACGGTGCCCAGAAAAGGGTTGTGCAAAGACCCATGCGCACAAATGCGGCTCCTCCTTGAAAAGAAGCTGCATTTCATTCCAGGAGCCCCGGTGAGGCAGAACAGAAATGTGCTGCAGGACGTGTCCTCCTTAAGAGTTTAGAAGTGCATGAGTTGGGATTGAGTCTTCCTCCTCTGTGACTTTCTAAAATCCAGAGCAGCATTAAGATTGTATTGTTTTCAAGGGAAACATCACAATATAAAGTTAAAAAAGGATACTGTATTTTTGGCTTTGCTCAACATCTTGTAATATTTTTATTAGCTATAGAGAGCAAATTTTAATCCCCTTACAGATAGCCACTCAGAGGCTACCAACAGGCTTATTGCACAAGTCTTTCCATGGGGATGTGAATTTTGCAGATCACATCTGGCCAAGTGCAGCTCATAAGCAGCTCAGATGCTCATGCAGGACACATCTGCACAAGTTCTTCACAACACCTTCCCCAGCAGATCTTTGGTGGCTCACCTGATGGGGACAGCCAGCCTGTGGTGGAGGTGAGGAGCAGGAGGACGGGAGCCTGCCCGTAGGCTGTCTGCTCATCTGAATTAGAGAATTACAGAATTACGGAATGGTTGAGGGTGGAAGGGACTTCTAGAGCTCATCCAGTCGAAACCCCCTGCTCAAGCAGGGACACCTAGAGCACATGGCACAGGATGACAACGCCCATGTCATAGTGCTGAGCTTGGAGGTCGGCCATATTTACCGCCATCTAGTATTATTTATGTTAAAAAATGAAGAGAAACACCTCCTTGAAAGCTTGCTTTTACTTAAAGCCTTTTACATTTTGGTTCAGGATGTCTACATCAGAAGCCTACGTGTCCCAGGAGACGGGGAAAGGGCTTAGCTCTTGCCTGAGACAAGCTGTGCTTCCAAAACATGCTTGGATACACACAAGCAAGTTGCCCCAGAGGCAACCCAGTGAGTTTAGCTGAAAACATTAGACATGGCCTAAACTTGGAAGCGACTTGAAGGGGAGAGGAGGCCTCTGGACAAGGCAGAAGGGGCCTCTCTGCTGCACACAGGTCCCTCTCCCACCGCTTGCTGCCAGCACTCCCGCTGCTGGCACCCATGTCAGGCTGCTGGCACAAGTCGTGCGGGTCTTATCAAGGAGGACGATTTGGATTCACAAATCCGTGTCGGAGGGATACAGAGAAAAAGGACCAACCTAACCCTTTCAGAGGTCTCCAGTCACATAACAAATCAGACTAACTCCAAAGGTGGTTTCATGGCTGCWCCTTGCTGCCGACTTGCTGCCCACAATAGCCCACCAAGGTTCTCTCTTTAACTTCATACCTCCTGGCTCCCGTTCCATTTCTACTCTTGCCAGCTTCTCCCACCAGCAATTCCAATAAAAGCCTAGAAATTGTATCTGGATAGGCAACCCCACACCATTTAAACCTCCTGTGCATCGTTTTGGTCTCTTCTGCATGATCCATCAGACTTCAATCTCTGGAGCATTGCCGGAATGCAGTCCCCCGCCTGGTGCTTCCCCCTATCCTCAAACTACCATTCACCAGACTTCACTGGACAAATTCAGCTGCTAGGCAAATCTTGATGTTTTATGAATCTGAAATTTGCTACTGAATCATTTGATCATTTTGATAGTCACACGCAATTTGATGATTTAGTAGTGATGGTTGCATCTCCAAGGCTTATACTTGAAAGGAGTCAAATCCAGTCGAAATACCAGCCTAGTGGAGAAGTTTCTCCCACCCATCTGTCCCACAATAATTATCAGATCTACCCAGTTTTTCAGCTGTCAGGAGTTACATAGATTCGCTCAGCAGTGAGGCTTAGGGGTTCTCCTATTTATTTATTTATTTATTTATTTATTTATTTTCATTTCTGGGTACCTTTGAGGTCTATGGGAGTGACCATGGAACCAAACAATTCTCTGTCAGCACCATGGAGATGAAAATGGGATGAGCAAAATTCCCCCAAGGGTCTCCTCAGCTGTTCCTCTACATCTCCCCAAAGTATGATTTTGTCATATTTTTCCCCACTGCTTCTACTCCCTTTTTTGAATAAGTTACAACTCAGTAAATGTTAATAAACAAAAATAGACAAATAGACCACAAGCAACTGAAAAAAAAGAAAAACAAAAATTGCATATGTTCCAAATTTCCCACTTCTAGCCTATTCGGAAAAGCGTTTCAAGACCACGATAATGATGTGTTTAAATCCACCCTTTCCGCTTGCAGTGCAAGATTGCTGTAACATTTTCGAACACCTCGTGGACCACCCATGAGCAAAAAGAGCAGCCTCTGCATGGCCAGCACAACGCCTTGAATGTGGCGTTTCCTTGGGGATGTGGAGGACAATAGGAAACCAGTTTGCTGGTTTGTATTCTGACTGCAATAGCTCTTGATCGTTCAGACGAGTCTGTTCTGCTTGAGAGAGACCAGCCTTCTCTGAAGAAATGAGCCCCACAAACACCTAAGTGAGATGGGGGAGCTCTTAAGCACAGAAAGCACCTGAAAAAAAAAAAAACACAAAGGTGGTTAAATATTTAGATTTCTTTTCAGTTCTTGAGCAGATTTGATCCATCCTCATGCAACAGCTCTCACTATGCTGCAATGCTCTCATTTCCATTGCAAAAATTCCTCTGGAAGAACTTAAGGTAAAAGAAAAAGAAGGACTGAGCACAACAGCTTGAAGAGAAGAAGAATGTAAATTTCCACATTTATTTTTAACTATGCTTCCCCTTCTAGAGCAAGAGCATATGTGCTAGGAAGGCTACCATTTCTTTCTTCAGCATCCCAGAAAATACAGAGAGAATTATTTGAAGCAAAAGAGGGATTGGGCAGGAGGTCTCTTCTATCTGTCTTACTCAGTGCAACTGGTCAGGTCCTTTGGACATGCTCTAAAAGGAGTAAAGAAATCTATTAAAATCCTTGCAAGGTGTTTATAGTAATTATAACTTCATCAGCTAATGTCACCTTCCTATCTACTGTCTAACACTCCCTTCAGGCCTCCTCCTCTTACAGACAGACAAATGTCTTCACATCTCTGATGTTATTATAGGCAAATAATTTTGTAGTGACAGTGGACTGCACTGTAAAGCTGCCACCTCACTGCTTCAGTAATGAAAACACAGCCAAATGGGTCAAACTGAAGCTGACTTTTTGTACAATGTGTCTGGAGCCTAGAAGCAACTTCAGCTGAACCTGTGAAGCTTTGTTTGCCTCCAAGCTGTTCTGGATCACTTTTTGCTCATTGTGCCCTCAAGATTGTCCCAGACCAGTGAGTATCTCGAACTGTTTCATCCTACCCGTTTTTCCCAGTTTAACAGAGCTCGCC